TCCTTCATATTCATGACATGTGTCATGTCATGATTATGAAGGTGCCATGTCAGTCTTATGCACACCCCTTCAAAGTAAAGTGTTACCAAAAATAATAATAATTGCATGAAATTGACAAGCTCCATGTTAGGGTAAATTGTGATTTTACAGTCTAGTTTGATTGCAAGTTTTTAGTAGGGCTGCACGATAAATCGCATGCGATATTTAACGCGCATCTTATCAGTAAAGCCGGTTCTGTAATCAGCGGTATATCTCCATCACCTGCGGGCTTTCACATTGAGCAGCATTAACTACACAGAGCCGTTGTTCACTGAGGAACTGCGCAAAAAATCGCGCGAATATGAACGTGGTTTTGCGCAACTCGTCAGTGAACAACGGCTCTGTGTAGTCGCGTTAAATATCGCATGCGATTTATCGTGCAGCCCTAGTTTTTAGTAAGTTAAAATGTTTTATAATTTCATTAACCATCTAAGCATCACTGTGACAAAAGGCTTTTTTTTTTTACATATTAAAACATATGAAAATTATTAAATTAAACAAAAACAAATAAACAATAAATAAAACATCCCAAATAAGAGTTTACATTTAAATTTTTACATATTTATATTTAAATTAAATTGCATTGAATTATATAATTTCATTTGTGTACATAGCAATACAAAAACGTGCTCACCAAACATTAATTTGGCAACATATTCGTGCCTCTATCTGATATATTAATCATCCAGGCATCTGTAGTAAATTCATTGAAATCATGCTTACAACATATTACCATGGCAACCGCAGTTTCCACCAAAATAGTATCAGGCTAATACTTAGTACAACTTGCCATTGACAAAACATCAGAAAGTAAATAACAACAAAAAGGCAGAAAGATTCTTAAAATCTGGAGAAAATGTCATATTCATCACTGATTACGTTTTTGCGTTATCAACAATAACTGGAGTAGCCTAATATGACACCATGGCGGAAACTACGTACCATAGTAAATGTTTGTAAAGTTATTGTATAATGTCAGAGAGAGTTTGCGCTACCGTTCGCGTCTTCATATTGTGAAGTGTTTAGTTCTGTCCGTTTAGTCCATGCGTGTTCTTCAGCCTCACCGACAGCAGCTTTACAAATCCACACTTCACATCTTCCAGCCAGCACTTCTGCTCACACACATCCTCATACTGAAGCTCAGCTGAACTCTGTCAGAAATACAGTCCTCCGTTCACACGCGGCTGCGCGCGCGTGGTCTTAAAGAACGCCGAGCCTCAATCCATTACAATTCAATACAATCATTTAAAATATTGTCACCCGAGAAAGAAGTAACCTATATTGTAACATTTTAGGTAGTCAAAGACTGTCGCTATTAAGCTCGAAATGTTAGCGACGAGGAAACGTTCATTCAAATGGGCGGGTTGAATTTTGAGTGGGTGCCGTACAACTGTCCTGCATGTGAGATTGATAGATGGTGTGTGAGCTGAAGGGACTATATAGTGCTGTTGGCTTCACTTCCTAAACTGAGCTAATGGCATTTTCCTCTTTTGTATATTAAGCCTACATTGATACAAATTTGATTTTGACAGCTGGACCACAATGATTGTTACCCATGTAAAACAATATCAAATTATGATCTTCTTGATAACTGCAACGATCGTTTTAGGCTAGTACATTTTTGTAAGGGGTTGATTTAAATTAATTTCTTTTTGGATTTGCAATCATATTGGCTACTTTCATTTTATTCCCTCAGGACCTTATAAAAGAGCATAACACATTTTTTTAAATGTCTTTGGTGCAAGAAATAAAATACTGTTTTCTAGAGAATGGAATGATTTGTAGTGATGTGATGATCTTACTGTAATCCAGTTCTCCATTATGTCGTAGGCTATTAATGAGATGGCTTGATATATGATATATGTTAATGATCGGCAGTATGCAGCAGATGATATCTGATCATTTCATAAGTAGTCATTTGATATTTCTGTCTGAATCTGGCTGACACATCATGAATGATTTTTAGTATGACTCATAAATCATAAAGCAACATATAGCATTAAGTTCAGATATTTTTTCAGAAAATATAATTATATAAATTAATAAAATAATATACTTACTTTTTATACTCCGTAGAGTATAGGCATCGCAAACTGTGACACTAAAACCTTTGGTCCTATGAAGATCAATAGGAGCATTCAAAAAACACCACAGGCAGACATTTTCATAAACTGTATTCACTGATACTGCTGACAGAAAGACCTCACAGAGATGTATGTTTTTGATGCATGCGCTTTTAAACTCAGCCTCAGCAATTTATTACAGTGCATTAATTGATGGGAAATTCTGGGTTGCAATATCAAACTCACATTCAGTTCCCTTCGGTCCACAGTGAGATATCACTTAAGAAACCATTATAATCCATCAGTTTTTTATTATTATGGGGTACAGTGACTGACATATTAAACAATGCTTATGATTTATAAAAGCCTACCATGCCAAATGCCAAAACAGAATAATTTATTTTGATAATCTAAAAGTCAGTTCTCAGCCCATCACATTGTCACTGATATTCCACATACATCTAAATGGATCTTCATTTGATGCCATAGAGGTCACTGACACCATTATTTTCATGGTTTATGAGGGGTGACGCATGTGTCTTAGAATGAAAGTCTGGTAATGTACCTGACTTCAGCATAAAAAGCACAGCCTATATCCCAAACCGCCAACATACGGCCTGGATGTACAAGATACCATCTTCTCTTCTAAAAACGGCACGCAATGTGGCAGAGATTCTCACGGGAGCAGAGATTTGCTGGAAGCTGTAATTTCGTCTGGAACTGCGAGGAAATGGAAATATATCTTTTTTCCTTTCACACAACACTATATTTCATATATTGCCCATACATTTTTCAAATCTCACCTTCACTTTTTAGATTTACAACTGCTCTCAACCCTTTGATTGTGTGAGAATAAAACATTGATTCATGATGGATTATAATGCTGTGTGCATTATTTTTGTTAAAAATATATACCGGTATATATATATATTCCAAAGAATTACTAATTAGACATCTGTGCACATGATGATTGATACCTGGACTAATATTTATGTTACAGAATGATATTTACAATTCTCTTTCTCGTTAATATATTTGTGTTTAAAGGGGTCATATGATGCGATTTCAATTTTTCCTTTCTCTTTGAAGTGTTACAAGCTTATGGTTTTATGTTTACGCGGCGTGATGCCACGCAACGCGTAAAAAGGCCGTATAAGTCATTATAATCCGTAATTATGTCCCCACTGGGTGCAACAAATGCCTAATTTATAATGGGTTTTAATGTTTTTGTCTCGTCGCTCCGGGCGGGACACGGCATCACAGTATGGTAAGGGGCGTAACATTTCCGTCACACGCTTGAGGTATTCGGATGTTCTTTTTAGCAACATCATATGACCCCTTTAAAGGGCTTCATTTCAAGGTTTTTAACATCACGGGCTGTTGTTGTGAAGCAGTAATTTTCCAGTGATATTGCTTGTGGTATAATAACATTTGTTGGATTGGTATTCATCAGACGAAGTCTGACCATTGAAATATACTCAACAAAGACACATTACACCAAATACACAAAATAATGTTCTTTTTAGCAACATCATATGACCCCTTTAAACCAATATGGAAATAAATGCATGAATCTAATCTATTTTTCTATTTAATTGATAAGAATCATTTTACTATGACTTGTATGTGGTTGTTTGTCTGTGAAAACAAAGAAGCCAATGATCTGAAGCACTCTATT